ATACTGTAACGGTATTCACAGGCTTCTAAAATAACTTTTTCTTTTTCAGCCATCAACATGTGAACGGGAAGTATCAGAATCGTTGTCTGAATCAGTAAGCAGTTCGAATTCTATTTTTGACAGTCCAAGAAAAATTGTACTTAAAAATAAATTACGCAAGGAATCTGAAGCTAACAAGAAACTCACTGAAAAAATGAAGAAAATTCAAAGCCAAAATGTTTATTTGAAGAAAAAAAATGCTTCTTACAAAAAAATTGTCCAAAATTTGAAAGATACATTTGGACTCAATTTAAATGCCGAGATTGATTTAATGGCTAAAGCAGAAGTTGTTGAGTTACATAAATCTTTAATGAAAAAGAATAAACAGAGCAGGCATTATCTATTATGCACTGCACCCTTACGGAAATTCGCATTGACTTTACACTACTATTCACCAGCTGCTTATAAATACATTAGGGAATGCTACAACAAAGCTCTTCCACATCCTAGGACCATTTGCAGGTGGTATTCAACGGTTAATGCAGAGCCAGGTTTTACTTCAGAAGCATTTGCAGCCTTAAAGAAGAAATCCCAATCCAACGCAAATTCAAATAAACCTGTAATCTGCTCATTGGTATTTGACGAAATAGCTATCAGGAGACAGAAGCTTTTTCACAATAATCAAAAATTGGGTGCTGTTAATTTTGGAGCAGGTCCTATGGAAGGTGAAGAAGACGAGACTGTAGCAACGCAAGCTTTAGTATTTATGCTGGTTGCCCTAAACGAAAATTGGAAATTACCCGTGGGGTACTTTTTGACGGCCGGTGTAAATGCTGAAACAAAGGCGAATTTGATAAAAATATGCTTGCAAAAGTGCCATGAGGTTGGTTGCCAAGTTTTAAGTCTTACGTTTGATGGTTGCTCTGCAAACTTTGGCGCAGCTGATATTTTGGGCTGCAAGTTATCTGACGTCAATAATATGAAGACTTATTTTCCACATCCATGCACAGGAGAAAAAGTTTGCATTTTTATAGACCCTTGCCATGTTATAAAACTTATAAGAAACACGTTTGAGAAAAAAAGACTGTTGTTCGATAATAATGACAAACAAATCAAATGGCAACTACTAATAAATCTAAACAAGCTTCAACAAAACGAAGGTCTCACATTCGGAAACAAGTTAACACCTCGTCATATATATTTTCGTCAACAGATTATGAAAGTAAAGCTTGCAACACAGCTTCTGAGTATGAGTGTAGCAAAAGCTTTACTACTGTGTGATGAAGTTTTGAATTCGAAACAATTCCAAGATTCATCAGGAACGGTGAATTTTATTACTTTGATGAATAATTTTTTTGATATAATGAATTCTAGAAAATGTCATTTCTATGGTTTTAAGCGTCCTGTCGATAGCAAAAGCAAGTCCCAAATATTTTCTTATTTGGATGAAGTGAAATCATATATACTTGCATTGAAATTTCGTTACCAATCAAAAAGAATAATTAAACGAAGGAACCAGACATCCAGAATATTATTACAAATCTCAAAAAAGAACATAGTTGAATCTGCTAACAAAACCGGGTTTATTGGCGCCATAATATGTATCGAATCATTTAAGATACTCTACAACTACGCAGTTGTAGAAAAAGAGATGCTTCGATACATATCTATGTATCGAATGAGTCAAGACCATTTGGAGTTGTATTTTGGTTCCATAAGAAGTCATGGCGGTTATAATAATAACCCCAATGTCTTACAATTTAGAGCAGCATATAAAAAAACTTTAAATCACCTGGAACTTAAGTCATCCTTTACCGGCAATTGCATTCCTCTCGACAATTTCACTATTCTAAATTCTTCGTCTGAAAATATAATTAATAGTACATCCTGTGCAACTAAATATGACCTTCAATCCTTTGAAGTATTGCAAAATACATCATTGCTAAAATCCAATTTGGAAGCTGAAACTAATTGCGATATTTTTGCAAAAATGCTTGATCATGAAACATTTACATATGAGTCCAAATTGATAGTAGGTTATATATCTGGTTATGTATCAAGACAGTTAACAAAAAAGTTAAAATGTGAAGTCTGTATTGACAGCCTGACGACACCACATAAACTTCCACATCACAGGCTTATAACTGTTAAAGACATGGGTGGCTTATGTTATTCGGCAGAAGACGTGTACGTAATATGCTTGGCTACAGAAAAAATCATACGTAATTTAATACGACGAAGCGGTGGAAGTCTTGCCTCGAGATATGATTATAATTATATTACCGTAAACACTCTAAAGAATTTCATTGAGAAAGAAGTATTTGCAAATTTGAATCAACATTCACTGAATCAGCCAGCAACATACAATCATAGAATTCATTTGATTCGAGCCATAATAAATCAGTACACAAAAATTAGATTGCATCACGAAGCAAAAACCGATCAGACTGTGGATAAGTATACCAAACGGCAGAAACTAACTAAACTTATATTATTTAAAGGAAATTAAGTTATTTTTACAGTTTAAATGCAATATAATCTGGACTGTTACATGGTTTCATTCGTTTTTTTTAAGAAATATCTTGGAATTATCATTCTTAATCTTGTAAGTTAAGATATCCATGTCACTATATTGTTTATTATAGGTACAACGTAATTTTGTATACCTATTTTTGTGACATACTCATACGTACCCATTCAAGAATGTGTAGCAAATTCAGAAAACCACGTCTGAATCATTAATGTACCATGTACCTACTACCGTTGTTTATATTCAACACAATAATACCCTTGTTTCGGCGCTTCTTTTCAGCACTTGCCAAAATGTTGGTCTCGAGGCGCTGATAGGGAAAAAAATAATTTAAGATACATGTAAAGGCTCAATAAGAGCAAAACTTAATTTTTTAGACATGTAGATTTTCAGATATATACATTTAGTTTAATTGTTTTTATTTTAATATTTAATGATTTGTAAGCACAGTCTAAGAAAATAAAGGAACTTTGACTTTGATTTTAAATACTTTTTTAATATTTAATTTTATTTATTTTCCGAGTATACACTCGTACAATATCAAGTATCTTATAAATCAATATCATCTGCGCGCATTAATTGTTATAATAATATAATAATAACATTACATTCGCGGCCGCTGCTATTTAGTGCGCGCGGCATCTTTTGTTTGGACCAACACAAACAAATAATGTTCATGCAACAAGTTTTTGTTGCGCGTTTGATATAAAGTACACTTTTGATGTGTATTTTCGAATTATTTCTGGTACTAGTTTTGTTAAACAATTAGTTTCTTTGCAATGAAATAATTTATTTCATGTGAAAGTTATTTAAATTGATGTGCGATAAGTTATTTGATGTGCATTTAATAATATCCCACTATTCAATAGGCAGAAACTAAACGTAAACGAAGTGTCGCCTCTGTAATGGTATCATTATCTATAACTCATAATATTTCGTGCGCTGTTGGATGACAGTTTTAAACTAGAGATGGGTAATTTTTTTATCGAATTAGAAAATACCAGTTAAAGATTCTCAAGGCGATTATCGATTACATTAGATTTTAATCGGGAAGAAAAATAATTAAAGCCTTAAGCATCAGTATGAAGCCCATACGCACTTGTAGCACTAGTAACACGATTAGCCTCAGTCCCCTCAGTTGTGAATTCGGAATCGCCAGTTGTAATTTTAAAATCGCATCACAGAGTGAAGTAACTAACACCAAAAAACGGCAGAGCGAAGTGATTTCGAATGTTTCAACTGCCACGTTTTGTCAATTGTCTAGGAGGGCTAATTATTAGTTTAAGGGGGGGCGCTTAGATTACATTACAGGAAACGCACAATATAATAAAAGAAAATAATGTGAGTAGCTGAACATTTTTGCTATTGAGCTGCTTGAGCACCATGAAAATTATAAATAACACAATTTAGTCGATTTGTTTATTTTCACAATCGATTCATAATGTCTATGATGAGGCGACCGCAGGAACGTCACTATTCGCGCAATCCTAGCAATGAAGTACGACATTTTCTGGTGCAGATTTTATCGCCATAAATTATGAAACTTGATAGTCATGGATTTGACTGACAGCTGTCCGTCAAATTCCCGCCCCGCACCCCGCGCTGGACATATTTTGTTCGCGATGTCTGTTCTATACGTAGTAATATTACTTCAATGCATGGGGGTTAATTTTAAAACGTAGGTGATCACTGAGACAGGAAAATTCAACCCCTAAGGGGATGAAACGGGACCACGCGTACGAAGTCGCGGGCGGCTGTTAGTAAATTACCATATACAGGGTGGAAACGATAAGTGATCTCATTCGATTATTTCTAAACTATACAAGATATCCAAAAACTAATTACTGATCCTGAAAGTGCTTCACGAGCTCTATCTAATGGTAATAATAATAGGTTACAAAATAAACTGGATCTATCTGAAAATTCAATGTTTCCAGCCTCCATATATCTAGTAAAACCACATTATATTAAAAACTATACAAGATATCCAAAAACTGGTTACTGATCCTGAAAGTGCTTCTCAAGCTCTATCCAACGGTACCAATAATAAGTTGTAAAACAAACTGGATCTATCCGAAAATTCAATGTTACCAGCTTCCATACATTTAGTACTGCCACAGTCATGGCACTCATGTCTTGATAATATTATAGCAAGTAAAGCCTAAAACCAATGTTTTCCATGAATAATTTTAAATAAGAATGCAATTTACGAGTTAATTTTAAGTGTTTATTATTTAAAATAAAAAAATTAACACTTCTAATATTGTGTGGCTGGCATAGTGGCATATATTTAGTATGGAGGCTGAAAACATTGAATTTTCGGATGGATCCAGTTAACTCGGTAACCTATTACTGATATCGTTTGAAAGAGCTCGTGAAGCACTTTCAGGATCAGTTATATGTTTTTCGATATCTTGTATAGTTTAGAAATAATCGAGTGAGATCACTTATCGTTTCCACCCTGTATTTCTATTGTAATTCAACAACTTACCTTTCTTAGAGGATTTCACCGACAGCAGCCCCTCATCCTGCCCCGAATTAGGCACCACCAGCACTTGATTTTGATCCAACAACTTTTCTTCAGCCTCATCCAACACCTCCTTCTCCTCAATAACCGATCTGATCGGCGTCGCCGCCATCTTGTCGTCGGGCGGATTCAAAATGGCGTCAGAGCATGTCAATTTAAATTTGGAATGTGCGTTTTGTTCCGTGTTTTATTTCTACATAGCTTAGCTCAGTCTTTTGTTTGGTTGGCGCTGATTTGATCTGTAACAAAGATAAAAGGTGTTAATTAAATGAATTTTACTGAGGCTTTGTTTGAATAGAATAGAATGGACTTTATTGATCACAGTAAGCAAAATTTATAAACAATAGCTTTTGCCCGCGGCTTCATCCACATGATATTTAGTGTCACAGATCGGCATAAATTATAGCCTATATGTTAATCTGGGTTACAAACAATAATACTGTAAAGTTTCAACAAAATCCGTTCAGTAGTTTTGGCGTGAAAGAGTAACAAACATCCAGACATCCAAACTTTCGCATTTATAATTAGTAGAATAACAACACAACACGAGAAGAAAAAAAAATTAGCAAGGCCACTGTGCCAATAGGCTTCCGCTCAGCATTTATCTTGACATGCTCGTAAGGGCATGTCAAGAAGCTGTGGCCTAATTCACGTATTTTGACAGTCAAGATCTCGCTGACGTTCAGAAGTCGCCCCATTGAAAAACAGTTCTAAATCCGTATTCACAAGGGTCATTCCGATAGAACGATTACTCCATAGGATCGCAACTCAGTATTTTGTTGTCGTTGAAGTTTTGTTACGTCGCGTCGTCCCATTGAAAATCAGTTCTAAATCCGTATTCACAAGGGTAATTTCGATAGAACGATTACTCGATAGGATCGCATCTCAGTGTTACGTGAATAAAGCTACTGGTCTTCCGCGGAAGCCCTTGTTTGTTGTGGAATCGCGCATCTTTTTGCGAGAATTTCTACTGTCAAACTCCATACAAAAAAACACCGGTTATCGTTATAGTTACGGTCAAAGTTAGGTGGTGCAACTCAGCCTTAGAGTGGGCCCAGTTGCTGGAAGAAAAAATATTTAAAAATTCAATCCAGCGACTTGAAAGAAAGGGTGCAATTAGTGTCATAGCTCACGAGTGAGTACTGTCATCGTATCATCGGTTGCCCAACATACATCCTGATGCGTGGGCTTCATATTATTCTGTGGTTCAACTTTCGCCTGGCGCAGCAGGCCAAATAAAAAGCCTAACAAAAGCCGGCCGGACAAGACCGTAAAAAGCCAAACATGTCCTGGACGCTTGGCAACCCTAACCCCACTCAGCATATGCCGTGGCCCCCGGTGAGGAAGGCCACGACGCTGGTTTTCAGTGTACCCCATGCCGAATGGGACTCACGGACACTAACCTATACTGCATAAAATATACATACATACATAAATAATAATAGTGCGCGTATAAATTTTAAGTGTAAGTACAGTATTATAAAGAAAAGATGTGGCCCGGTGGACCAAGCTAAAAGTGGGCCAAGTTACTGAAAGACTAAATCATACCTATATGAAAACCGTTTTGTCGGCATCGACAGTCAACAGTATCGAACCTTGACGTTGATTTTTAGATTAATAACTATACACACAGCGTTAATTAAAAAACACAATTATATACACAAACAACTGTCAATCGCTACAAAACAAGCGTAACTTGATTATTTGATTCGGTGAACATTAAGTGCGTTATCTATTAATTTGTAACTGCATTTATCATTATTATCATTTATCAGTCTACCACCTGCCGATTGGGTAGATAAAAATAAAACATCGGTATATTTAAAAATAACTAGGAAAAAAATTATAAATAACTTCAAAAATCGAACTGCCTACGGTGGGAATCAAACCCACGCCCTTTCGATTCTAACCTCCTGGATTTTGCATAGAACTTGGTACTCATTTAGATCTCCATTCTTTTTGCGGCGAAGCCCACAGCCAAGCATAATGTTTGTATTGAACTTGGCTCTCCTTTTTTACATTTATGTTGCCGTAGGAGCGAGCCCTAATTTGAAAGAGCCCTTACGCCCGTACTCACAAACATTACTATGAGGTCTCCCAGTGCGCGTGGACGCACAGGCTGACACATGAACCCATCACAGAGCTCCATTCAAAACGCTATGCGTTCGATTTGCATATTCACATATGCAAGCATCGTTTCTGATTACGGGCGTTAGTCGCCTTAGGATATCTACGAAGAGTGCAGTCCACGGGTAGTCCCATTCTAGTCTGGTAGCCGTTTGGTTCCGGGTTAATTCCACTTATAGCTTCACAATTCCTAATAAGGAAGTAATTTAGGCAGGAAATATTTATCATTAGCTTCGTTTAAGACAAATTAAAACAATTGGGTACAGAATTAGCGATCACCCAACCATGGCAGGCTGCCTTGAAGTATTTACGGTTTGTCTGTCTGTAATGTTGGTAAGACCCCCTGTAAATTACAGACTTAAGCCCGGTTTCCAAGACGGAGCGGAGCGGTGATTTTTTTTATGCATGACAAGGCATTTGATCGCAATCGCACCTGGTGTTAAGTGAGATGCAGTCTAGGATGGTACATATCTGCCCTGTAAGTGCCTATTCACTCTCGCTTTGAAAAGGCCCGGATTATAGTGTTTAGGAAAGACAGCAGCAGGCAGCGAATTCCAGTCCCTAGCTGTTCGCATTGCAAAAGAGTCATCGAAACGCTTAGTGCGAGATGAGAGATGTGCGGCGAAGCTGGCAGGTTATTTCTATCAAAGCGGAGAGGAGAAAAGCGGAGAGGAGACGACACAAGAGAAGATGTCTGAGCTGTTGTTTTTTTTTTTGTTAAATTCCTTTATCTAACCGTGCGAAGCCGGAGCGGGCCGCTTAGTTCGAAATAATCTGATAATAATTACTGTATGCTGATTGCTGGCACATTAAGCGAAACACTGTGGGACCTTATGTGACTTGCATTAAGTAATAATTTACAAGAACAATGTATAAAAATAAGCCTATTACGAGTATGCTGTCTATAACCTGTCAAGTCGAAACTTAATTTCGAACTCCTCCTATGTTCTTCTGATTAATTTCGTTGCGGGTCCAACTTTCCCCCGGGACAAACTTGTCTATAACCTGTCAAGACTGTAACATGAAACAAAAAAGTAAGAAAAATAAATCAAATCAGATGAAAAAATCACTAAACTTAACGACTATGAAATATTCCATTTAACAACTATCTTATCAACGAGAGCCTAGTGATAATACCTAGTAATAGTCATAATATAGTCATACGCCTATTAACGGTTGTACAGACAGAACTAGCGTACATTAAATACATAGGCTGTTAAACACATAACCCCTCCTTTGCGTAGCGCAGTCGGATAAAAAAAGGCTCTTATTGCAATCAAATACATAGCTCACAGCTCGCACATAGCTATAGAACTGGTGGCCTTTGGGGCAGAAAAGTTCTCAAGTGGCGACCTCCCACTAGGTGGACCGACGATCTGGTGAAGGTCGCGGGAAGCACCTGGATGCGGGCAGCGCAGGACTAGTCATTGTAGAAATCCTTGGAGCCTTAGTCCAGCAGTGGACGTCATTTTGTGGATGAGAAAAGGGAACCAAAGATCTGGATGCAGGCCGCTACCAACCGTGCGGTGTGGACGTCATTGGGGGAGGCCTATGTTCAGCAGTGGACGTCCTGTGGCTGAAATGATGATGATAATGAACCAAAGAACTTCGAGATGCACTACGCTTAAGCGTGGCTTTTTATAAGATAAGATTTAGTCTCAGTGCTTAACAATATTATAATGAATTCTGATAACTGTTGTTCAGCTAAATAATACATTCAAATGCGGTCGTTGACATTGGCCGTCTGGTAATCTGGTTTTGATATCAATTCGCGAGTCGTTATGTGTTATGTCGACTCGTAAGGAGGCTAATGACGTTATGCCACCTTGAACAGTAATAAAAATAAAATAAAAGTTAGAATAGGTAGTTAGCGCTTCAGTCAGTGCCTGAGGCATGGGCGCGGTAAGAAAGAAAGAAAGAAAGATACATTTATTACAATGGACATCACACAAATACAGGCAATTACATAGACATGGCAGTGGCACATAATAATGGAAGAAGAAAAAATAAAAGCAAGAGTAAACTGAGCAGTGCCACCCATTCACCAACAAGACGCCCACTGCAACGGGACCCCACTCAGCATATGCCGTGGCCCACGGTGACGAAGGCCACGGCGCTGGTTTTCAGTGTGCCCCATGCCGAGAGAGGGTCACGGACCATGTGGTAACGTCAGATGTCATCGAGACTTCAGATGCTTCAGATATGCTCTGTCACTTAATAATATGTCAATGACACCCTTCTCATTCCGCTCCCATACCTCAGGCACTGACTGAATTAAGCGCCAGAACTATAGTCATAGTTATCAATTTAAGTATGTTTACATTCATACTATCTAACCGCACACTGCCTACTTGAAATACCACACAAGTGCTTATTTTGACCTATATCAACAGTTATGCGGTTTCATAATTATTTACCAAGTTAATAAATAAACTGTTACATTGTCCTGTGAATCATATTAATTAAAATATGTATTTGGAACAATCAGGACAATTATTATAAGATTTGTATTATCCTGAAAACCTATTGAAAAGGAAAACAATCACAATGTACTAATATTATAAAAAGGAAAGATTTGTATTTTATAGGTATTTTCGTTACGAATAACCTCAAAAATTACTAACCGATTTAAAAAAAACATAACCCTCCTTCTGGCGCAGTCGGGTAAAAAATAGCTGTGTGTAAATGTTGCAGTCCTACGCTGCCCGCATCCAGGCTCTTCCCGCGACCTTTACCAGATCGTCGGTTCACCTAGTAGGAGGCCTGCCCACGCTACGTCTTCCAGCCCGTGGTCGCCACTCGAGAACTTTCCTGCCCCAACGGCCATCGTCTCTAAGAGCAATGTGCCCCGCCCACTGCCACTTGATTTTAGCAATTCTTCGAGCTATGTCGGTCACTTTGGTTCTCCTGCGGACTTCTTCCTCTTGTCGTGTCGACAACAAACCTACACAGCGTCAGCCCAAAACTCCGCCACAAGAGTGGCGTTGTCAGTAGCCTTCATTAAATCTTCCTGCGTGCAGTTATTTGGGCACGCAGGGCACGACATCATGTGCTTCGTCGACTGGGGAACAAAACCACACTTGCACTCCAAGTTTGAGCCATCCAAGAATCC